ACACTTGTTCAACCTTTGGACGAAGACCTACTTCGACTAGTGGATGGTACCACTATGACCCCGCCTCCATCTGCTTCACGTCACCTCACTACAGTATATAAGCCACGTCTACGGCCCTATGCTGTACATTCTACAAGATTGATGGACTGAACACATCGACTCCAGGTTGAGGGACTGATTACCTCATTCTCCTCCTCTCCTTACGCCTTCCTCTTTGTATAGGACTGATGAAGCCACTGTGTGGCGAAACGTTTCCTGAATAAAGATTCCCATATGCTGCATAAGTGTCTCAATCTTCAACTTGTCGGTTTTTCAAACCATTCATCACAACTGTCAGACACTGCAGCATCATGGGATCTTGTTACAAAGAATTCTTCAACACTTGTTCAACCTTTGGACGAAGACCTACTTCGACTAGTGGATGGTACCACTATGACCCCGCCTCCATCTGCTTCACGTCACCTCACTACAGTATATAAGCCACGTCTACGGCCCTATGCTGTACATTCTACAAGATTGATGGACTGAACACATCGACTCCAGGTTGAGGGACTGATTACCTCATTCTCCTCCTCTCCTTACGCCTTCCTCTTTGTATAGGACTGATGAAGCCACTGTGTGGCGAAACGTTTCCTGAATAAAGATTCCCATATGCTGCATAAGTGTCTCAATCTTCAACTTGTCGGTTTTTCAAACCATTCATCACAAGGGATTATGTATACCCCTGCAGAGGGTGGAAGCTTGTCCTGTCTATCACTGGTAATGTCCTTGATGGTCGTGGTTGTGGAGGTAGATACTTGGAATGAGGTACTGGAAAAGATGTTGGAAACGTGTTTGGCAATGGAGTTGGTGGGGAGGACTATGTATCTCTTCTCGGCAGTGTCTTCTCTGGGTGTGTTGAAGATGTTTAATGCCCGTCGTCTGCAGTCTCTGATAAAGTGACGAGGATAGTGGAGTTTAGAAAATACTTGTTCAATTATCGTGCATTCTTCTTCAAGAAACTCATTGCTGCAGATTCTGACGCACGCAGGAAGAAGCCTATAATTACACCACGTTTAGTTTTGGTGTCATGGTGAGAGTAGAAGTGGAGAAGATCGTTTTGGTTGATGGGTTTTCAATAGACTTTAAAACGAAGTTTGTAGATGAATGGTTCAGAGAACCGACATGTTGATAAATTAGACACATGTGCAACTCTTGGGTATCTTTATTGAGGAAACGTTTCGCCACACAGTGGCTTCATCAGTCCATACAAAGGAGAATCTTGAAGAACAGGAGGAGAATGAGGTAATCAGTCCCTCAACCTTGAGTCGATGTGGTCAGTCCATCAATCTTGAATAGAATACGGCATACGTGCTGAGAAGGAGCTTATAAACCGTTGGCAGGAGAGGTGAATCAGTCATAGGTCGTGTAACGACCTACTTCAACATTGAACAAATGTTACACGACCTATGACTGATTCACCTCTCCTGCCAACGGTTTATAAGCTCCTTCTCAGCACGTATGCCGTATTCTATTCAAGATTGATGGACTGACCACATCGACTCAAGGTTGAGGGACTGATTACCTCATTCTCCTCCTGTTCTTCAAGATTCTCCTTTGTATGGACTGATGAAGCCACTGTGTGGCGAAACGTTTCCTCAATAAAGATACCCAAGAGTTGCACATGTGTCTAATTTAAAACGAAGTTCGTGGTCAGCTTTGCAGAGCAGAACATCAAGGAAAGGAAGAGTGTTGTCGACTTCTTCTTCAAGTGTGAACTGGATTGAAGGCTCGACCTGGTTGAGCTTGTCTTGGAGAGCTTGAACGTTGAAGCGTTTAGGAGTTATGAGGAGAATGTCGTCAACATAACGGAGCCAGGTGACAGACGAAGGAATAATGGTGGAGAAGCGTTCGGCTTCTAGATGTTCCATGTATAGGTTCGCCAGGACCACACTGAGTGGCGAACCCATGGGTAGTCGAAAAGTCTGCTGAAAGAGGTGATTTTCGAAAGAGAAACACGTAAAGCCAACACATAGTTCAACAAGGTCGATGAAATCGCTGGCTGGAATGGGAAGATCAAGTGAATCGTCAATTTTCCTGCGCAAGAGATCGATGGCTTGTGTAGTGTAGGTACTTTAGTGAATAGGGAAGTCACGTCAAGGCTGGAAAGTTTCTTGTTCCTGATGTTGATGTTGCGAATGCGATTGAGAAGATCACCCGAGTGTTTGAGATGTGCTGGACTGATAGTGCCCAAGAGTTTAGAGAGGTGTTTTGCGAGAATTCCTGAGAGCTGGTGGGGAGCACTGCCTACTCCCGAGGATATGGGCCTCAGTGGGATACCAGGCTTGTGAATTTTTGGCAGACCGTACATTCTGGCAGGTCTGGGGTTGCTGGGCATGGTGTGCAGAAGTTTCTTCCACCCCAGGTAGATCTGTTTGTGACTTGAAAAAGCCCACTGTGTGGGCGAAACGTAGTCAGTAAAGGATCATATACTGCATATGTGTTTATATTTCCAGGTAGACTCCGGGTAATAAATTTAGTTATTATTAGTTTAGTGTTGGACGGGAAGTTTAATGTGAGGATGTCAAGAGAAAGTCTTTTAGCTATAGTCTAACCTCTCACCTGACTCTCCTTTTAGCTGTAGTCTAACCTCTCACCTGACTCTCCTTTTAGCTGTAGTCTAACCTCTCACCTGACTCTCCTTTTAGCTGTAGTCTAACCTCTCACCTGACTCCTTTTAGCTGTAGTCTAACCCATCACCTGACTCTCCTTTTAGCTGTAGTCTAACCCATCACCTGACTCTCCTTTTAGCTGTAGTCTAACCTCTCACCTGACTCCTTTTAGCTGTAGTCTAATCCATCACCTGACTCTCCTTTTAGCTGTAGTCTAACCTCTCACCTGACTCTCCTTTTAGCTGTAGTCTAACCCATCACCTGACTCTCCTTTTAGCTGTAGTCTAACCTCTCACCTGACTCTCCTTTTAGCTGTAGTCTAACCCATCACCTGACTCTCCTTTTAGCTGTAGTCTAACCCATTACCTGACTCTCCTTTTAGCTGTAGTCTAACCTCTCACCTGACTCTCCTTTTAGTTGTAGTCTAACCCATCACCTGACTCTCCTTTTAGCTGTAGTCTAACCCATCACCTGACTCTCTTTTTAGCTGTAGTCTAACCCATCACCTGACTCTCCTTTTAGCTGTAGTCTACCCCATCACCTGACTCTCTTTTTAGCTGTAGTCTAACCCATCACCTGACTCCTTTTAGCTGTAGTCTAACCCCTCGCTGACTCTCCTTTTAGCTGTAGTCTAACCTCTCACCTGACTCCTTTTAGCTGTAGTCTAACCCATCACCTGACTCTCCTTTTAGCTGTTGTCTAACCTCTCACCTGACTCTCCTTTTAGTTGTAGTCTAACCCATCACCTGACTCTCTTTTTAGCTGTAGTCTAACCCATCACCTGACTTTCTTTTTAGCTGTAGTTTAACCCATCACCTGACTCTCTTTTTAGCTGTAGTCTAACCCATCACCTGACTCTCCTTTTAGCTGTAGTCTAACCCATCACCTGACTCTCTTTTTAGCTGTAGTCTAACCCATCACCTGACTCTCTTTTTAGCTGTAGTCTAACCTCTCACCCGACTCTCCTTTTAGCTGTAGTCTAACCTCTCACCCGACTCTCCTTTTAGCTGTAGTCTAACCCATCACCCGACTCTCCTTTTAGCTGTAGTCTAACCCATCACCCGACTCTCCTTTTAGCTGTAGTCTAACCCATCACCTGACTCTCTTTTTAGCTGTAGTCTAACCCATCACCTGACTCTCCTTTTAGCTGTAGTCTAACCTCTCACCCGACTCTCCTTTTAGCTGTAGTCTAACCTCTCACCCGACTCTCCACACTATAAATAATCATGTGGTATACACCCAGGTAGAGGTGTTTGTTACTTGATAAAAGCTCACTGTGTGGGTGAAGCGAAGTTAATGAAGGATAGTGTTATACTGCTTTTGTGTGTATTTATCCAACTCCTTACTCGTTCTCTTGACATTATTGTGACAGATAAGGTAGTTTTAGCTGCGAGAAGCTATGTACAGGAGGGCCCCACATATACAGCACCTATTTTCGGTGTTTCACGTTTATCGTTGGCGTCAGAGCGAGCCATTGTTCACTATGTTCCACACGCCGGTGACTATCACCCGCTTGTGGAACACCGAAAATAGGCGCTGTATATGCGGGTCCCTCCTGTATCTGCACTGTCGTAGGCTGACATTATTGGGCAAAGATGAGCACAATAGTGTACTGGTAACATTCGACTGTCACGCATAGTGCCTAGCAGCAAAAACAGCCTGGTTGACCAGGTTAGTACCAGACGAGCCTGGGCCCATGGCCGGGCTCCGAGAATAGTAAGAATCTCAAAACTCATTAAAGGTATATCAGAGGTAAATGCTGGCTAAAGAATAACCAGTGTTTGTTGTATTCATTTGAGTGGCATCTGTAGGAACATGATCAGTGAATGTAATTCAGAATAAATATATGCGTCATGAAGCTATAATTCATTGTCCAGTTCACTTTTCCTTCCTTATACATAAAACTCTGGAAGACGAGTGTCTGTGACCGCAACCACTGATGGTAAATATGGCAGCCAACTTAAATTTATATGGAATTGTCCTACTGTTGTCGTTATCATGGATGATTGGTAACCACCTTGGCAGTCATCTTGGATTTCTCAACTTCCTGATGGGTGACAGAGTGGCACCTGCTGCATTAATTCTCAATCTATACGCCTCGGGGGTTCAATATCAACAAAGAACAATTATGTACTATAAACTCCCTAGGTTCATTCATCTTTCCACTAACCTAACTCTCCCTCGTTTTATCGCTTAGTTATGATGATGATAACTATCCCTCGTCGTAGTCTAAGTTATTACCATTGACACCAGGCCATTTCCATCAGTTACATGCACATTCCCTTGTATATAACATAAATGTGTTGCATTACGAGGCTTGTGACCATAACCAGGTAACTGTTGTTTCAGATCCCTGGACGAGCGTCCCAGGAAACAAGGCAGTTCATACCACCAACAAACACTTCGGTGAGGTGAGTCAAGTCAGCACCAGGCTGCCTCTAACTTATCTTACCACAGTGGTGTTCTTAACCCTAGAATACGAGGCTGCAGGATTTAACCGGCTGATGCACGTATTTTATTCTATCTAAGAAAGATATATAGTGGAAGGAAAGAGTGAGTTTTGAAGGTACTTTGTCTACTGTGATGCCTGAGAGAGAGGGAGAGAGAGAGAGATCTGGACTATGTACTGGCGATGTACTTACAACTGTACTCGTCTCATTTCATACACCTAGATTATTGGAACTCTTCAAATGCCTCAACTTGTACTGCTGCAGTGCAGACGAAAGATATCACCATGTTCACCTGGAGAATCCAGGTAGGGACTGCTTCATTTACACACTGAAAGCAGTGCTTAGAGAAGTGAGAGACGTTGTAGACGGTGCAAGTTACTCCAGGGGAAAAGTAGAGGTGCAGCATACACATTGATGTATGTGAAGGACTAACGACTATGTAACGCCCTTTTAAGGAGGTGTAGAGAACGAAACAAACTCTTATAAGGGAAGTGTAGACACCGAGTAGACCCAAGGTAGACACTAAGTAAACACAAGGTAGAAACCAAGTAGACACAGGGTGGACACCAAGTAAACACAAGGTAGAAACCAAGTAGACAAGGTAGACACGGTAGACAAGGTAGACAAGTATATTCTAAAAATTTCCACCAGAGGTCTTTAAAAATATCAAATCCTTGTGCTGGTGAGCGGCTTATGATCCAAGGGGTCGGAGGTACCCACCATCCCTCACGTTCCTTGGTTCAGCAGTGGTTACCTGCCGTGCTCCAGGTACTGCTTCAGCACTGATGACTTTATCCGAAGATTACCCGAAGACGGCCGGTCCCAGACCAGGTCTTCCGGTGACTGGCTGTGACTAGCTGACTGGCTGTAACTAGCTGGCTGTGACTAGCTGACTGGCTGTGAGTGGCTAACTGGCTGTGACTAGCTGGCTGTGACTAGCTGACTGGCTGTGAGTGGTTAACTGGCTGTAACTAGCTGGCTGTGACTAGCTGACTGGGTGTGAGTGGCTAACTGGTTGTGACTAGCTGGCTGTGAGTGGCTAACTGGTTGTGACCAGCTGGCTGTGAGTGGCTAACTGGCTGTTAGTGATGGCTGTATGCAAGCCAACGTACAGAAGGGCCCCACTTTACAGCGCTTCGTTTTACGGCGTTTCACTAGTGCAAAAAATATATTCAATATAAACTCTGGACGAGAATATTTTAAGGTAAGTAATGTGTGTACTGTGTATGGATTGTTTTTAGACCTGACTGTTGTTCACTTAATATATGATAGTATAGACATGTTATCAGGCTTTTACAGCGAATTTAGCTGTACAGCAGTAGCTCTGAACCTAACCTGCTGTATAAGCAAGGCCCTCCTGTACAGCAGTAGCTCTGAACCTAACCTGCTGTATAAGCAAGGCCCTCCTGTACAGCAGTAGCTCTGAACCTAACCTGCTGTATAAGCAAGGCCCTCCTGTACAGCAGTAGCTCTGAACCTAACCTGCTGTATAAGCAGGGCCCTCCTGTACAGCAGTAGCTCTGAACCTAACCTGCTGTATAAGCAGGGCCCTCCTGTACAGCAGTAGCTGTGAACCTAGCCTGCTGTATAAGCAGGGCCCTCCTGTACAGCAGTAGCTGTGAACCTAGCCTGCTGTATAAGCAGGGCCCTCCTGTACAGCAGTAGCCCTGAGCCTATAACCTGCTGTACAGTAGTAGCCCTGAACGTAACTTGCTGTATAAGCCGGGCCCTCCTGTATGCACCACAACCCAGCTTATCAGGAATTAGCTTGAGAATTTAATAATAATAATGAAAAAAATGAGTTTTTAAATATAACTGGCCTTAATGCAGGACAGCTGGGAAGCCTTTTGCAATATACTTCTATATTTATAAATGGAGTGGGGGGATTGGGTTGAGAAGGAGTTGGGGGATGCAAGTGCGGATATTAACCATTTGGATTACTTGTGGAAGGGAGGGGTTGTTAGAGTGGTTGAGAGAGAGAGAGAGAGAGAGAGAGAAGAGAGAGAGAGAGAGAGAGAGAGAGAGAGAGAGGGATGAAGAGAGAGAGAATGTTGGCTTGGTTAGGGTGAAGACACGTGGGGGTTGGAGGGAAGTGCAAGTTGGGGTTTGGGTGGTAAGGGGGAGGGGTAGAGAGGGGTGGGTAGGCTGTAGATGTGGTGGTAGGGGGGATGGTAGCTGTGTTTGTGGAGTGGACAATTAATGTGTGTGTATAGTGAAGGAGCACAGTACTACTGTATTCTATACACCCGGTAAGAGCAGGTGCAGGTGAGTCAGGTGGTGGCTGGCTTCACCTGGCTCTCATTACCTACACTCATCTGGTGCAAGCTTCCCTCGTTGACATATCTAGGGACGGTGGGCAGGAAGTATACCCAACTGGTATGTTTAAGCTGGCGTAACATTACATAAGGCATGAAAACAATAGGAACAGTCAAGTAAGCCTACTGAGGCACGTAGGTCAGGTCCTTGAGATATACAAGTAATAATAATAATATAATAATAATAATAACGTTTATTTCTACAAGTACATGATGCAACTTAGACATTCCTAGCTGATGTCAGTGACATACTGTATAGGAAGTCACAATATCCTAATTGTTAATATTCATGGATAATCCATTACCAACTTACTGCAAGTTTATATGACTTGTAGATGAATGGTTCAGAGAACCGACATGTTGATAAGTTAGACACATGTGCAACTCTTGGGTATCTTTATTTAGGAAACGTTTCGCCACACAGTGGCTTCATCAGTCCATACAAAGGAGAATCTTGAAGAACAGGAGGAGAATGAGGTAATCAGTCCCTCAACCTTGAGTCGATGTGGTCAGTCCATCAATCTTGAATAGAATTCTATTCAAGATTGATGGACTGATGAAGCCACTGTGTGGCGAAACGTTTCCTCAATAAAGATACCCAAGAGTTGCACATGTGTCTAATTTATCAAGTTTATGTCACTAGAACCAGTGAAGGAGCGAAACATCGTTTGAGAGGTTCCTCCCTAAAGTGGGTCACTGTTGAAAACCTCGGCGGCGCTGTTTACACCACATTAAACTGGGTTGTAATAATGTTGGTAGAATTACCGACAATATGTAAAGTAAAAGGACACAAGTGCAACTGATGTGACATTTTATTGTGGCAACGTTTCGCTCTCCAGGAGCTTTATTAAGCTGATACAATAAAATGCCACATTAGTTGCACTTGTGTCCTTTTACTTAACACATTACACTGGCTCACACAGCTGTCTCGTCTACTTTTATACTTATAATAAAACTGGCAGTGTGCTGTACTCATCTGCAACTCCAGAAGTAACAACTTGGTTGATCAGGCCTTGAGCCACAAGGAGGCCTGTTCTGGGACCAGGTCGCGGGGGGCGTTCAACCACGGAAACGTCCTTTAGGACTCCTTCCTGTTGTAGCAGGACGTCACATAACGCAGCGGTGATGTTACTGAAGACGGTGTTATACGTAACATCGCATTTGCGATTTTGGCTTAAATGGCAACGCTCTTCTTGCCGGATAAGGCAAGCGAAAATTTGTGTTGCAATAATTTTACAAAAAATATTCTGAACCTAACGAAAAAAATATATTTCATTGTGTTTGTTTATTATTAAATTATTGTAAACTTATCTAAAATATATTAAGTTGGATTAGGCTAAATTAAATTGAGCTTGTTATAATAAAGTTAGGTAAGTTTTCTAAGGTTCTTTTGGTACAAAATTATTAATTTTTACATTAACGTAAGTAAAAAAAAATATATCCTTAAACGTATAAGAGAAAATTTTTGAAAGGACTTAATTTTAAATGAGTTCTTGCTAATTGACCAATTTTACCTATTCGGCACGACATATATATATTACAAATCATATTGTTCTTTATAGCTTATGATGTATCACCATCTGATACCATTTATCACCACCTGACACCATCTCTCGTCACTTTCACCATCATTCAGGGTAGGAATATTACATGTAGCTGCTACCATGATCCATGGTGTACCAGTCTAGTTACCCATGATCCATGGTGTACCAGTCTAGTTACCCATGATCCATGGTGTACCAGTCTAGTTACCCATGATCATGGTGTACCAGTCTAGCAAACCCATGATCATGGTGTACCAGTCTAGTTACCCTGATCCATGGTGTACAGTCTAGTTACCATGATCATGGTGTACCAGTCTAGTTACCCATGATCCATGGTGTACCAGCCTAGTTACCCATGATCCATGGTGTACCAGCCTAGTTACCCATGATCCATGGTGTACCAGTCTAGTTACCCATGATCCATGGTGTACCAGTCTAGTTACCCATGATCCATGGTGTACCAGTCTAGTTACCCATGATCCATGGTGTACCAGATCAGTTACCCATGATCCATGGTGTACCAGTCATAGTTACCATGATCCATGGTGTACCAGCCTAGTTACCCATGATCCATGGTGTACCAGTCTAGTTACCCCTGATCCATGGTGTCCAGTCTAGTTACCCATGATCCATGGTGTACCAGCCTAGTTACCCATGATCCATGGTGTACCAGCCTAGTTACCCATGATCCATGGTGTACCAGTCTAGTTACCCATGATCCATGGTGTACCAGTCTAGTTACCCATGATCCATGGTGTACCAGCCTAGTTACCCATGATCCATGGTGTACCAGTCTAGTTACCCATGATCCATGGTGTACCAGTCTAGTTACCCATGATCCATGGTGTACCAGCCTAGTTACCCATTGTGGAAAATTGCATTTATCTGAATGTAACTAATTATGTACATAACAGTAAATGATAACAAAGATAATTATTATTTATCAATGTTACATAGACAAGTAGGAATTTGGGACACCTAGGTCGCAAAAAATGTTCCCCTTCGATACCTACCACTGTCATAACCACAAGTTGCTCTGGACCTATTAATTAAATGAAATATACATACACCAGGAATACTGGTAAATATATAAATTTGTGGA